AACATGCTTGTATTGTGAAGATATTCGTTCTCATTCATTCCATTCCACATTTGTCAACATGAATACGGTTCATGCTTGTACACAGAGGGTAGGGGAATGGATCGATATATATATATTTTTACGATTCATTTTTTATGTCTATTGTTTTCTCTCTTTGTCTCTGTTTGTCTGTCTGTATTATTATGATTTTCTCTATCTCTCTCTCTCTCCTCCTTTCTCTTTCTCCTCTGTCTCTGTCTCTCTTTCTGTCTCTCTCTCTCACTTTCTGTCTGTCTATCTTTCTGTCTCTCTCTCTCACTTTCTGTCTGTCTGATGTCTGTCTATCTGTCTGTCTGTCTGTCTGTCTGTCTCTCTCCCTCCCTCTCTCTCTCCCTCCTTCTTTCTCCCTCTTTCTCTCCATTCCCCCTTTTCACCCCAGTTAATAGCTCCAGCTTAGCTTTTTCATCGACCCTTTTACACATCAACATGCCAAAGCAGCAAGAAAAAGAAAGTAATGAATAATTTGTATGTAATCGTAAAAACTGCGGCGACACCATTAATCCCTTCCAGTAATGAGGGAAAAATAGGTAATGGTATAGAACATGTATACAAATATGTATGGAAGTATAACAATAAGCTAGGATCTACATATACGTAGAACAAACACACGTAAAAAAGGGACAAACACAAATATGAAAAAAATGTTGTCTTCATCAGTCACCCATTTATCTTTAGTCTGTAATTCCCACACACACATATATATATATTTTTCTTAAAATACGTCCACAAAAGACTGCACTCCACATCATACACTCGCGCATACACACACGCACTCATACAACTCTCTCTCTCCCCCACACACAGACACACGCACATATAATTCTCTCTTTCTCTCTCACACACAAACGCAAACACACGCATGAATAATTCTCTATATCTTACACACACACACACACACACACACACACACACACACACACACACACACACACACACACGCACGCACATGCATACATTACCAACCCAACACGCTTTTCCCTCAACAAGTGCTCTACATGGAGTGACCCCCGCCTCCATAAGTAAACAATATACACAAACATACATAACACGTGAAACTACACTCACGGCCACCCAGCCAAACTTACATAGAAACGGGTACACTACATCAATTATTGTACCTACACGACCCACAGAGACATGTACTAACGTATATATTCTCGTAGGAATATACGTATTGAATGAAATGTAACAAATAAAACCTCGATAAATGTAATTTCACTGTCAGAGACTTATATACAAAGCTATATATTCTCGTAGAAAGATACGTATTGAATTAAATATTACGAATAAAACCTCGTTAAGCGTAATTTTACTGTTTGTCTGTTAGGTTGTTATTCATTAGAGAAGAGGCAGGTAAGAGCATGAAAGATGATAGAGAAAGCCTATGTCATTAAGAGCGCTTATCTCGTGAATTTCTTATGGGATTTTCGTCTTGTTGTGTCGTGCGCGCTTTCAATTAAAGTGCTTGGCCAATTTGTTTACCTGTCAATATGTAGGTGTCATCTTTTTGTTTTATTATGATGATTTTTTTAATGTGTATATATATTTTTTCTTCTTAGTTAGCAAAAATCCCTTATTTTTATTTTCTTATAATAATAATAATAATAATAATAATTATTATTATCATTATTATTATTATTCTTTTTATCATCATTATAATTACAATGTATTTTTTATTTCTATTTAATTATTTATTGATTTATATATATATATATATATATATATATATATAATATATAATATATATGTATATATCTTTTATTTTATTTCATTTTATCTATCATTATATTATTATTATATTCTTCTTCTTATCTTATTTATTTAATCTATTTATTTATTTATTCATTTTTAATAAATATAGCTTTTTGTCTCTCTCTCGTTCTCTGTCTCCTCCCTTCTCTATTCTGTCTGTCCGTTTTTTATTGTAGATCTCTTTCTGCAGGTCCTTCTCTCTGTCAGTCACTTTGTATATCTATTAGTCTGTCAGTCTTTCCATCTTCCTGTCAGTCTATCAGTCCGTCAAACCGCATATCAATTTTATATGTCCACTAGTCAGTATTGTATGAAATGTAAATTGCACCTAAGGAAATAAATAATAAATAAAATAAGAAGAAGAAAGAAGAAGAAGAAGAAGAAGAAGAAGAAAAATAATAAGAAGAAAAGAAAAGAATAAGAATAAAAAGAAGAAGAAAAAGAAAATCCAAATACCTCACATAACATTCTCGACAGTTAAAAAAACTCACTCAAAAAGAAAGAAGAAGAAGAAGAAGAAGAAGAAGAAGAAGAGAAGAAGAAGAAGAAGAAAAGAAGAAGAAGAAGAAGAAGAGAAGAAGAGAAGAAGAAAGACGAAAGAAGAAGAAGAAGAAAAGAAGAAGAAGAAAGAAAGAAGAGAAGAAGAAGAAATATTTGCAACCATAAAAAATAAAACAATTTGCACCTAAAAGAAGAGAAAAAAAACAAAAAAAAAAGACTTCTTGAAACCGACAGCTTGAAGGTCTTTCCTTTTTGTTTGCCAAGAGAGGAGGTAGGGAGGGGGGGGGGGGGAAGGGGCTATTCTATTTTTTTTTCTATTCTCTTCCTTTTGTCGGACGCATTACCGATGAATATTGAAGATAAGGCTTGTGAGAGAAGAAAAGGAGGAGGAGAAGCAAGAAGGGAAGAAGAAAAGAAAAGAAGGAAGAAAAAATAAGAGAAAAATTGAATAAATCAAGATAACAAAAGAAATAAAGGAATGTAAAGTGATGAGCATCATAAAAAATTAGGATGAATAAAAAGACAAGTTTGTCGTTAGAGGGGAAAAGAAAAAAAAGAAAAAGAAAATAAAGTAAAAATGTGAGCGAATATGATGAAAAAAGAAGAATAGACGAAGTGGGAAGTGAGTGAAAGAAGACAATCAGTTAAAAGAGGAGAAGGATGATAACATTATCATACTTCTCACATTTCTAATTATCGAATAATTCTTCTTATTATTGACATATGAGTTCATCTTTTAATTTTTTATAAGTGTCCATAGTTGGCTATCATCATTATGCAATTACTCATTACTATCATCAATCTTATAGTCGATTGATTATTGCTATGGTTACCCTTCAACATTATGATATGATTTTGAGTCAAATCACCATTGTTACTCCTATGATCATTATTATCATGACAATTATATTTTCAATTATCATTATTATTATTATTACTCATATTATTTATCAGTATGATATCATTATAATCAACAGTATCATTATCATATCATCCTAATTATCCTTATCATTATTATCATTGTTATTATTTTCATCATTATCATCATTGTTATCATTATTTACCTATTATCATTTATCATTATTCATCTTTGTTATTATTATTTATCATTACATTATTGCTTATCATTTTCATCATTATCCTCATTGTTATCATTATTACCAATTATCATTATTTATTATCATTATTATCACCGACTAAAGAAGTACATGTTTTTGGTAGCGTTTCTGATGTTTTTTATTGCGTGGTTAGTTCAGTTAGTTTGTTAGCTCGCCTCTTTCTATAAGGAAATTGCTTATTATCATTATTATCATCTTTGTTTTGTTTATTGTTATATCATTTTCTTTGCTATCATTTTGTTTAACAATTATCATCATCATCACCATCATTATTATCATTATCTTTATTATAATCATTATCATTACCCTTACTCTCATTATCAGCGTCATCATCCTTATCATCATCATTACGATTGCTGTAACAATAACAATCATAATAACAATTATCATTATAATAAAATAACAATGATAATGTTAATAATAAATCATAATTACAATGATCATTATCATCATAACAATCCTCATTATCATCACATATCTTTCCTTCACTGCAGGTTTCAATAACATGCAACACAGCACAGGAAAACCCGCCTAAGTAAGCACCAAAGCAATAATTATGCAAAACAATTGACAACAACAAAGGCACATTTTATACAAGAGGAAATGCTTTATACAACAGGATGGAAGGGAGTCAGTGAATCAAAAACGTGTCTTAATTTCTTTGATCGATAAAAGTGATCAGGAGGGAATGGCATATTGTGTGAAAGATACGTCAAGAATGGTTTTAAGAAAGAATTGGTTTGTGTCGCAGAATTGTCGAGAGAATAGTAAGTGTGATTTTGTGTGATGAAGATATAGAATGAAAATAATATTTGGAGGAGGTGTAGGATAACAAACGGACGAGTAGATATAAAACAAAAAAAGAAGATAGAAGACGCACACACACACACACACACCCACAAAAACACACACACACACCACACACAAACACACATCACACACAACATACATGCTTTAAAAAAAATACATCTATATACCATCATCATAACTACGACCAACAAACTTCACATAAATAACTAAATGATACACCCGATATATATCCAACAACCCAATAAAAAAAAAAAGAAAAAAAAAGAAAAGTTATCAGGAGTGAATGGCATATTTGTCGAAAGATACGTCAAGAATGGTATTAGGAGGAGTTGGTATGAGTCGCAGAATTGTCGAGAGAATAGTGTGATAAATAATATTTGATGTAGGTTAACAAACGAGTAGATATTTTATAAAACAAACAAACAAACAGACAAAAAAATAGAAGACACACACAAAACACACACACACACATACAGACCACACAATCACAGCGCACACACACACACGCACGCACATACACACACACACAACAGAAACAAACACACACCACACCACCCCACACCCACCAATGGGCAAGGCACACACACACACAAACACGCCACACACACATACATCACAAAACACACTAGGCCAGATAAATGCTTTCAAAAACACAGGTCTAAAGTAACACCACCACTATCATAGGATGAACACGGACCAACATAGCATTCAGAAGTGATTCATAAATTATCATGAACTGTATAACACACTTTCAGATATGATGATTAGAAATTCTATACCCAACACCCCAGACGCCGCAGGATAATATCGAAATACACCACAGCAAAACAAAGTGACAAAAAAGACGATTACTCAAGCTCGGTTTAGCTGCTGGTCCACTGAACAATAGATGGTCAATGCAGAGAACGGAACACACAAAAGAATAAGGAACAACGTGACTGCACTTGTTGGTCCAACGAACGCCAATCAAAACAAACAAAAGAGAAAAATACAAAAGACATATTTATCTGCGCACTTGCTGGTCCATAAACATCAATATCAAAAAAAAATAAAAAAAAAAAATAAGTCAATGTCACTCATGTAGGTGTTGCTGAGAGAGTAACCATACAAACGCCAATCAAGATGCAAGTGACAAAACATAAAACAAAACAGTTTAAACCACTTCACGAGTTGCTGGTCCAGACATATCTCTCCAATTCTTGATATAACAAAGACAAAAAAACCAAAAGAAACAACAGTTTACTCACTTGGCCTGGTGTCGGGAGCAACCCATCAAAACAAACACACCGAAAACATAAGAAAACGAAAATAAACATGTATTATGCTTCCTTAAGCTTGGTCCACAAACCAATTAAACCAAATATAAAAAAGAAAAACTTATTATACATTCCTCATTTGCTGGTCACCGAACACCTACAATCAAATTAAGAGAACGCAGAAGAAACAATAAGAAGTGATATATTGTACTGATTTTAGAGTTCTACTGCGCACATTGTCGTGTCTGCATTGATGTAATTGCATACAGATGCCAGAACTGATATCCATGGGCCTGTCAAGACAAACAAGAAAGACAACAACAAGAAAAAACAATTACGGAGTGCACTTTGCTGGTCGTCAGAACACTCCCTAAGTCCGAAATCTGCTAAAATTCAAACGAAACAAAAGAAAAACAATTTACTTGCACTTGCTGGTCCGACAACGCCCAGATTCAAATCAAGAAAAGAAGAAGGCAAATACAAAAACATTTACATGCACGTTGCTTGGTCCATAACAACCCAGAACTCAAAAAACAAGTAAAAAAAAAAAAAAATAGAAAAAAAAAAAAAAAAAAAAAAAAAAAAACACGAATTTACTCACTGCTGGTCCAACAACCCAATCAAATCAAAACAAAAACATTTACTCACTTGCTGGTCCAACAACCCAATCAAATCAAAACAAAACAAAACAAAAACATTTACTCACTTGCTGGTCGAAAGGATACATCGACAAGTCAAATTCACACTGGAATGTCTCACTGTATTTCCTTCTCACTGTGAGCGGGTTTTCCCATCCTGAGTAGACCTCCACTGCGAACAAAAATAGATAAATAGATAGATAGATAGATAGATAGGTATATGGGAGAGAGAATATGAGAATATCGAAATATGAAAGATATATATTGATAGATATGTATATGAGAGAGAGAATATGAGATCGAAATATGAAGATAGGTAGTTCGTAGATAGATAGGTATATGAAAGAGAGAATGTGAGAATATCGAAATATGAGAGAGACATATTAATAGATAGATAGATATATGAAAGAGAGAATGTGAGAAATCGAAATATGAGATAGTATATTGATAGATAGATAGGTATATGAAAGAGAGAATGTGAGAATATCGAAATCTGAAAGAAAGGTATATTAATAGATAGACAGGTATACAGGAAAGAGAGAGTAAGAATATCGAAATATGAAAAGTATATTCATAGATAGATAGGTATATGAAAGAGAGAATGTGATAATATCGAATATATGAAAGATAGGTAGATTCGTAGATAGATAGGTATATGGGAAGAGAGGAATGAGAATATCGAAATATGAAGATAGGTATATAATAGATAGATATAATGAAGAAGAAGAATGTGAAGAAATATTGAAAATATGAGAGAGACATATTAATAGATAGATAGATATATGAAAGGGAGAATGTTGAGAAACAATGCGACAATGAATAAAGACTTAGGTATACTTATAGATAGAAAGGATATATCGGGAAACGGAGAGAAGAATGTGAGAATATGAAATATGAGATAAGTGTAATAAAGGTTGGTAGATAGATAGGTATATGAAAGAGAAATAAGTAAATTGATAGATAGATCGAAATATGATAGGTATATTGATAGATAGATAGGTATATGAAATATATATAAGTCGATTGATAGGTATATGAAAGATAGGAAAGTATATTGATAAACAGATAGATATATGAAAGATAGATAGGTAAACTGATAGATAGATAGGTATATGAATAACTATATAGATCGTAAATCGTAAATCGATAGATAGATAAGCATATAGATAGATAGATAGATAGATAAGTAAATTGATAGACAGATAGGTGTATAGATAGACAGGTAGATAATTAAAAGGACAGATAGATAGGTATATGAAAGACAGATAAGTAAATAGATAGAGATAGATAGGTATATGAAAGATAGACAAGTCAATAGATAGATAGATAGGTATATGAAAGATAGATAAATAAACTGATAGATAGTTATATGAATGAACTGGTAACTGAACGGATAAGGAAATGAATAAATCAGTTATAAAATAACAATATATGTATGAACAAATGAGCATATAAAAGAAAAAGAAAATGCATAAAACGTAATTAAGATAATAAGGGAATCAGAATGAAAAGATAAAAGACGAAGATGAAGAAATCGACGAAGAGGAAGAGGAAGAAAAAGAAGAAAAATATTAATCTAAAATGCAATTACTGAACAAACTCACGATATTCATCTGCAGTAAGAAAGAAAAAGAAAAAAAAAAAAAAGTAGAAAAGCAATAAATTTGGAATTAAGCTTTTGAATTCTTGTACGAGAAAAAAATTCTCGAAGAAAAAAAAGAAAAAATAAATTATAATATACATTTGTCAGCACGAATTAAGCTTCTGAATTCTTTGTCTGAATACAAAAAAAAGAAAGAAAAAAAATAAATGAAGATAATTTGTAGTTTAACAGTGGGTTAAAAGATGAACAAAAAGAGAGAGAAATGTAATTGGATACATATTTGTAAGCAAATACTGCATGTTTATCGCTACTGATGTTGCTAAGAAAGATTTTCTTCAATATTCGAACTTATTTATTATAACAAAACAAACATCCAAGTACTTCTATAGACCCCCTCTTCGTATTTCCATCCCCTTCCTCCCTCCAGCTTTAACCACGCCCCCCTAGCCACGCCCTTTAAGCTCCTGGGATCGTGTGCTATTCCCTTTGCATGGCTTACTCTCTCCCCTCTGCTCATTTCCCCTCATGACCTCTGACCTACCTTCTTGGGGTCGCGTGTCCCCTCCCATGGTCGGCTCCCCTGACATGAGCACCATCATGGTGGCTTCCTCGTCGGCGTGGGTGATGTGGTTGCCTCGCGTGTTGGTGAAGTCGACGGTCGGCACCCACAGTTCTCGCATGGTGTTGTATGGTACCCTGGCAGAGAGAGAGATGGAGATTTGTGTTAAGCAAGCAGTGATTTTAAGTTTTATTGATCTATTTACTTTTTATTTATTTTATTTTTTTGTCGAGATCTGTCATCGCATGGCTATCTTGATGATTAAGGCACCGTCCCCTGGCCACGCCCTGCGAGCAATCAATGCGGCCCACAGTGGATAAAGCGCTGCTTCGACCACCTGTTGAGGGTGTAGTCCTTGTTCAGGGTTGAGGTAGTTGACCGCCCCTCGCGCCACGTCAGAGTCAGGTTGTAGTTGATGTGGATCATCATGGTGCTGGTCCTGACGTCGGCGCTCTCGAGCACCATGCGGACGCCGACGGGAAGCGGCGCCGAGGCGGCGGAGGCGACGTCGCTCGGCGGGAGGTCCGGCCGGTACACGGGCGGGAACTGCACGAGTTCGCAGCCGCTCTCGTCGCTCTTGTCCCTGCAGTCGAACTTGAGGTCGCAGCGCTGGTACAGGGGGATGCACGTGGCGTCGTCGCACGAGAAGGAGCCCGCCCCACAAGGGGTCAGCAGGAGCACGTGTTCCACGGGCGGCTTCCTCCCGCAGACGGGGCGCTGCAGGGCCCAGCTGTGGCGCCCCATCGGGAAGCCGAATTCGTTTTCGGAGAGGATGGCCACGACCTCGTTCCTCTGGCGGTCCCACCAGACCCAGCGGCCGTCCGTGTCGTTCCTCATGATCATGTAGCTAGAGTAGCCGCGGAAGTGGAACTCCCCCGAGGCCCTCTGGCGGGCGACGAAGTGGATGTTCCTCGGGAACTCCTCGCACGCGCCCAGGAGCGTCCACACGAGCCCCTCCGGCACGTCGCACACCGCGCACAGCTTGCGGGAACACGAGACGTCGGTCAGGCCGTCCGAGGACCCCTCGAGATATATCGCTGCGCAGTTCTGCAGGACGTCCCCGTCGGGCGCCCCGGGTCGCCACGAGACCTGCGCGGGGAGGCCGTTCTTGTGGTACGTCCATTCCCCTTCCGTGGCGACGTCCGTGACCCCCGTCCACAGCCTCGAGCAGGTCTCGTTGTCGGGGAAGCCAGAGAGGAGTCGCCTGAGGTCCTCCACTTCTGCCCTCCGAGGCGTCGTCACCGAGCCCCCCAACCCCTCGCACACCTGGAAGGCCGCCTTGGAGGACACGGGCGGGAAGAGGAACTGCTTCGTGGCTCTCCTGTCGCTGCAGAGCCTCTCGGAGGGGACGTCCGCCTTCGTCACGTCGCCGTGCATCGTCCAGGCGTCCGTCCAGGCAACCAGATCCCCCGCGCTGCCCTTGCACTCCACCAGCGACGCCACCTCGTCCACCGCCAAGGCACGACTCCACACGTTAACCTGCGTCGATGGATTAATAAATCGTCCGTCAAACGAATCAGAATGAAATTTGCAATGATCCTAAGCCACCTAAATCATAATGATGAATCAATAAATCAAGATAACGACCTTTAATCCGAGGAACCAACCGCTGGCGACCCAGACACCTAAATATAGGAAAAGGAAACGAGACTTAAAACCAAATCCTCGACCTAATACCTCCGTTATCTCGCCACTGAAGCTCCTGACGGCATCCCAGGCGCCAACCTTGAGTCGAGTCCCACCTACAGGATACTCGGGGCGTCCTGCCTGGCTTCCTTGCAGATCCCCATTCAGATAGAACTCGAGCGTGTCCTCGGAATACGTGATGCAGACGTGGTACCAGGTGAGGGCCCTCAGAGGTCGCCCCAGGAAGAAGAGGCGGCGGAAGATCCCCATCCTGACGCGGAAGTAGCGGAGGTTGAGCTCTGAAAGGCCGAGTCGAGGTCGCTTTTCTAATGTTCTTTGACATTCTTTCTGTTTCTTGTCTCTTTACTTTCTTATTTATTCATATGCGTGCGTAGGAAACGCACTGGTAGGCCAATCAAAAGAGAACGAATATCCCCTGTATGTTCAAGCGCACGTGTAATTTACGTGTGTTTGCTTACCTGTGTATATACTTATATGTGTCCTATGCATGTATGTGATTATGCTATTCATGTGTTTGTGAGCGTGACTATAAACATGCAAACACACCCCTCTCGACAGCCCTGAAACTGTTCATATTTCTGTAATCATGACAATACACATGCATGTAAGCCCCTCTCTACAGCTCTAACTGTTCATATGTATGTATGTCCTTATAGTGTCATCATCCTTGTAAGCGTAACTATACACATACATACACTCTTCCCTCTACATCTCTAACTATTCATATACATGCATGTTCTTATACTATCATGCATGCACACACACACACACACACACACACACACACACACACACACACACACACACACACACACACACACACACACACACGCGCCTCTCTCAACATCTCTGAGGCACAAACACACCGGCACTGAACACAGATGTCGGCGAGTCCTCCTCCACATCGCCCCACATCTGCAGGAAACCCGAGAGATCCCACAGGTAGAAAAACCTGAGGCGGAGACACACGCTGAAGTCCTCGGGGTTGAAGGGACGCCTCCATCCCTGCCCTTCGGTCCCTCCTGCAGGCCCCGAGTAGAGGATATGGGCGTCGGACTGCACGCCCTCCTTCTGAAAGCTGTACACGTCCAAGGCAACGGCTTCTGCGTGAGAGATATGAATGGGTCATTTTTTTACTCTTTGTCTTGTGTTTTTGTGTATGTGAGAGAGAGCGAGAGAGGGAGAAAGGGGATAGATAGAGAGAGGGAGAGAGGAGAGGATAGAGAATAGATAGATAGAGAGATAGATAGATAGATAGAGAGAGAAAGTGAGAGAGAGCGAGAAAAGGAGAAAGGGATAGATACATAGATAGACAGGGCAACTGGTTGACAGTAGACTGATGGATAGACAGACAGATAGATAGATACAGAGAGAGAGAGAGAGAGAGAGAGAGAGAGAGAGAGAGAGAGAGAGAGAGAGAGAGAGAGAGAGAGAGAGAGAGAGAGAGAGAGAGGAGAGGAGAAAGAGAGAGAAGAGAGAGAGAGAGAGAGGGGGGAGGGGAGATAAAGAGAGAGATAGAGAGAGAGAGAGAGAGGGAGACGAGACAGAGACAGAAAGAGAGGGAGACAAAGAGAGAGATAGAGAGAGAGAGAGAGAGAGAGAGAGAGAGAGAGAGAGAGAGAGAGAGAGAGAGAGAGAGAGAGAGAGAGAGAGAGAGAGGGAAAAGGGAGAGAGAGAGAGAGAGAGAGAGAGATAGAGACAGAGAGAGGAGAGAAGAGAGAGTAGAGGGAGAGAGAGAGAGAGAGAGAGAGAGAGAGAGAGAGAGACAGAGAGAGAGAGATAGAGAGAGAGAAGAGGAAGAGAGAGAAACAGACAGAGAGAGAAGAAAACAGACAGAGACAGAGAGAGAGAGAGAGAGAGAGAGAGAGAGAGAGAGAGAGAGAGAGAGAGAGAGAGAGAGAGAGAGAGAGAGAGAGAGAGAGAGATGAGAGAGAGAGAGAGAGAAACAGAGACAGAGGCAAAGAGAAAAAATCCAACATTCTAAAATAAGCCAAACAAAAACAGAACCAAGACCTTCTAAAACGCGCAACATTCAATTCTAACTTTCAAAAGAGAAAGAAAAAATGTACGATCAGCAATTTATCAAATAAAAACACTACTATTGGCGTCTCATCGATTCCAGTATAAATTGAAAAGAATAGAAAGGAAGAAGAGGAAGAAGAAAAGAAGGAGAAGAAGAAGAAGAAGAAGAAGAAGGAAGAAGAAGAAGAAGAGGAAGAAGAGAAGAAGAAGAAGAAAGAAGAGAAGAAGAGGAAGAATAAGAAAAGAAGAGGAAAGAAGAAAAAGAGAAGAGAAGAAGAGGAAGAAGAAGAAGAAGGAAAAAGAGGGAAGAAGAGGAAAAGAGGAAGAAGAAGAAGAGAAGAAAAAGAAGAAGAAAAGAAGAAGGAGAAGAGAAGAAGAAGAAAATACTGACATGTATATAAAGGCAAAGCATTTGGACACAGTAGAAAAAAAATAATTACATGTATAAAAAGATAAATATTTGGTCACAAAGGAAATAAAATAATCATATGCATAAAAAGATACAATACATGGGCAGTTTATTTCCTCGATATAAGCCACTGAATAATACAATTT